GTAATAATATGAAAAAATGTTATATACAAAACTTACATGGTATAGAGGGGGGCATACTGTGACACCAACATACAATACAAGTAAACCCTGCATATCAAATTCTTAATTGAATAATATTAAATTAACAAGGGCGGTACTGTTTTTGCACCCGGGCGGCCAACAACTCAGGAACGGCCCTGCATGTATACAAAAATATGAATTTTAAACTTTTTCGTGACCTGCACTGTACATACTTACAGTAGGTAATACTATAATTATAGTAGATTTTAAACACCCATACATTTTTTATCCCAGCAAGTATTGCATATGTATTATGAACTATTGAACATTCTATATTGTCTGTCATTTAAGGCCTCGAGTAGAGGCGATACCACGCTGGATTCTTGACTCGGTTTACAGTCAGTGCATTACCTGATCCGTCTTTGAAATGGATTACAGCAGGAGACTTTGATCGACGGTTTTGTAAGTCGAGTAATACGTTGCTCGGGAAGTATTCAACGATGAAATAAAAGTTCGTAAGCTGTCTGGCGATAACACAGAGACGGCTCGAAGCGAGCGCTACGTATTGCAAATCAAACGGACATGCTTCTTATGTTGAACCACTTTTTCTCGATCCTTTTGTATGTGACTTTTTAAAAATATAGTTACTAATCAGATAAAAGATAAATTCTCAGTATCAGTTTGGCGGAAAATAAATGAGTAGACAATTGATATTTGCAAAGTGTTTTTAATCGTACATCGTCTATGTACATAGATTAAGATATGTATGTTATAGTCTTTGTGGTGCTCTAACGGCAATTTCAGAAATTCCACATACATATTTTGCAATTAACTCCATCAAATTGATATTACCAACGTGATAATTGTAACAATAAAAAGGTAAGAAATATTACTGATAGAATAAGAAACAAAATGCTAATGAGATTGCACTTTAATTTTATTGCTGGTCGGTCGAAACTGTTAAGGTTATCAATTTCATTTTATGTAGGCTATCTTATTGCTCCAGCAAATAAAATACATACAATTTCTTAAGTTCTATTTGCAGCATGGTAGAGATTAGATGTTTTTGAATTAAAATAAATTTAAATAGATAATATTTTGATTCATATATGAAAACTATACATATACAGTATGTCCGTCTTAAGTGTCTAGACTTGATTATTTCTGTAGGTATCAGAAATACGAAAAAATGTTTCAGATGAAAGTTATATGGTATCGAGGGGAACGTATTTTGAAGATAATTTTTTGTCCTTGAGGTAACTTTGGAGTGTGCTGTGAAGGTCACCCTGAATTTTTGAATAGAACCCTACATTTTTTATCATATATTCCAATAGCTGACATCGAGATGTATTTAAAACACTAGAGCCACTTGTATTTGTCGTAATACTTTGTTGAGTTATTAACACTCAAAGTTTACGTGCCGCTGGCATTAGCGTAACCCCATGTAGATACATCACGAGGAGGTTGATCGGTCGGATTTTGTACATCATGGTGTCTCTACAAAGAACCGATTGTGCGTGCGTGTGTGGTGCTTGTTGTGTGTGTTTCAAAACAATCTAATATAAGATGACTATGCCTCGACATGCCCTCCATTATTAAGAATAATTTTTTGTAGTCAAAGTTCGAATTCCTTATCTACCTTTTTTAACATTGTTGGTGTTATTTTTGCACACGCATTTGTTATTCTTTGGTGCATTTCCATTCGACTACAAAAAATTATTCTTAATAATGGAGGACCTACCTCAAATGGTTAACATTGAGGCTGCAAGTGTAAGAGTTACCTGCACCGCGCACTGTCGTAAGTCGGTATAAGAGGTACATTGGTAAGACGTAACGAACAAGCGATAATCGACCAATTCACAATTGTAAAGCCTTTACAGTTGAACCAGAATTGTTTTGAATATTTTAATTTTGCATATCAAAAATAAAATTTTAGATATGACTACAAATTAATAATTATATATTATATTATATTATTATTATAATTATAATATTTTATTTATTTTTCTTGGATTTTAAATATTTACATTTGTACCTCTTAGACAATTACTTTTTTAATAATTCAAAAATCAAAATTCCAACTTATCCGTTTTTTCTATTTGGGTATATGTATAGTTTTTACATACAATTGTACAAGGAAATCGATTAATATTTGACCAGAATAATTAACAAAAAATGCTGTTTTTTAAATGTATTGTTTAAACAAATGGATTATTCTAGAATCCAATTATATAGCTGAATTCCTTATTAAAAAACACACAATATTGCAATTTATACCGTTTTTCTATCTCTAATAGTTTCCGAGATATTCAACAGAATATAGTTCACACCCCTAACTTTGAGGGTTGTTTTTACACCTTAACCCACCCGTCAAATATTTTTATGAGAACTATAATCTCACACAGCTGCATCAAAATCGGCGATTTTCAATTCGGTATGTTCCCTTGTAATATTCTTTTATTGAAGTTCCGTATTGGGTTTCCCCCGAACAAATTTCTTCCCATTCGAGTCAAAAATATTGAACTTACTTTCGTCTGAGAAGATAGCACGTCTCCAAATTTCGATCGGTTTATTTAAGTAGGTTTTAGTGAAACCTAGCCGTTTTTCTCTGTTCGCATTATTAATGAATGGTTTCTTTTTCGCAGCTCTGCCATATATGTATTTCAGCAAAATGCAAAACGTTTCCAATAATTTGGGAACACACATACTTCGCTGTTTTTGACGCGACATCTTGCATAGTGTTTGAGCACTTACATATGGATGTTTTGTAGCTTCTTTAATAATATTCCGATGCTCTCTATGTGTAAATATCATCGGTCGACATGACCGTGGCCTTTTTCTCTGTAGTTTTTGTTTTCTCGTACTTTTTAACAATATATTGCACTGTTGTAAAATTTAGACTTAAAGTTTTGCCAATTTTTCTATAACTTTCCACACGTTTTCGAAGAACAACAATTTCATTTTATAAAAATAAGAATTAAAAAATATTTCTTTTACATGATAAATGTTTAAAACTATGTATATATGGGTACAAAACTATACACTACGTATCAAATTCTTAGTTAAATAATATTAAATTACAACAACCCAGGAACGGTACCCGATTACCTATTTATATTTTTTAAAAGTAACTACATACAGCGTGTTCCACGGTACTTGTTCGCCCTGAATAACTTCTAAAGTATGTATTGTATGCAAAAACTTTTTATAGTAAAGACCATTTTCAATAAACAAAGTGAAATTATTCGTTAAGTCTTAAGTTTACGGCTAATAAAGGTCAGTAATTTTTTACTCAAAATGTAACGCTCTTAGATATTTTGGTATAAAAAATATAGTATTCCATTTTAAAAAAGCGAAGTTGACCTTCAAATCTTCGAAACGCCTCCACTTACAAGAAACATATATGCATTACATAATGTAACCCTTCAATCCATACAACTTTTCTATAAACAGTTTTTTCATACAATGCATACTTTAGAAGTTATTCAGGATGAACAAGTTGCGTGGACCACCCTGTATATCAAAACGTTTCTATTCGCAATAACGTTGTCGTAAATAAAGATCTTTTCCGCGCAATGACGTTCGAAGAAATGTAATATGAAAGACCTCTAAAAAGCTTGCGCTCTCTTGGAAGCCAACCGGCTACTTGGAGATCTAATTGGAAATCGTCTCGAACACTTTTAACTAAATCAAGCCCGTGGAGCGACGCTCGTACCACGGCCCCTTAAATCTCGTAATTAGAGCTCTCCCTTAACAAATTCTGTTCCATCGTTAGGTGCGCCCTTGAACGTTTCCCAAGCCATCCTACGAAGCCAACCCTCGTGCCCTCGTGCGGAAAAGAGACCGTGTTAGGTTCGCTGCGCGTAACCCGGCAACAGTCAACTGACAGTGTCGAATTAATCGAGTTAACATGGCCTGCTAAATTTATTAGCCGCTTCCTATTAGTCGTCGCCCGTAGTATATCCAGAGTACAACGACGAGCACGTTGTTCATGCAAGGAAGCGGAGGAGTCGCACAAATGAAATTGGCTGACACCACGCTCGCCACGCGCTAATTTTGGACACTCCTTGTCTTTTTTATGAGAGGAGGCGCCAGCACGTTTTCTTGATATTCCCCCAAGTAGCAATTATTGTTGTCATCTTGATGGGTCTTTGATACAATATTGGGAGGCCAATAATTAGAATTGTCACCCTTTCTTGCAACTGGGCCAACGATCATACCCAATGTAGGGGCCACGTCACTATACTACGAAGGGGCAACTGAAGGTTTTTTTCTATAGGGTCAATTGTTGAGTATCTATAATAAACCAACAATAGGAAGACAGTTGGCTATACCTACTACACTTCCATAACATCCTTTAAAAATATTTGAAGGAGAATTACACTGGCAATAATATGTATAGTAAACAGGTAAACAAGTGTTTTACCAGCAAAGTTACCTTTATAATTTGTTGTGTACAATTTATACATGTAGCTAATCAGTACAAATGATTATAATAAGTTATTTCCAATTTTCTGTCCCCTGACTCTATTTTCAAAAAATGTCAAATGCCAAACGTGTTGCGCAACAGTAACAAATTGTGAGTATATTCATAAATAAGAAAACAAAAAAATCAATATGAAATATAATAACAAGTGTTTGGTTGTAGCAACGTTTCTGATGTCTTCAAGGTGATATTTAAATGTTGGCAAACTTTGGGTGGGCCAATGTTGTATTATCATTATAAATTTCGTGTTAATTAACCAACTGTAATAATTGTAGGGCAAATATTGGATATTTGTTGGCAAATTGTCATAACTTTTTCGTCGTGGGCCCTATTTAGGGAATTCGTAGGCAAGAGTAGTAATTATATCCCAACTAACTCCTAACTTTTGAATACCGTTGGCATTAATGCTACTAGAGCCATTATTTAACGCGTATCGCTTTCGACCTCATAGGAAGATCGAGATCGATGATGAGACATCCGGGAGATCGCTCACCATTTATTTACTAATAAATATTTTTAAATGAAAAAATTACATTATAATCTAGAAACTGCAATCTATGAAACACAGACACGTTTTTTAAAAAAGGTCTTATAGTTTTCGAGAAAAAAATTCCCAAAGGACACTCTTTTTTCGGCCTCATGACTGACGATGACCCCTTAAGAGTAGGTCCGCGTACTGTCATTTAGGCCTTTGCAAAGTTCTCACCTCTAACCTCAGATTTGACATGTGAAATGTATCGTATGATTCTTCAATGTAATTTCAATTAATTATAATTTAGTAGGGTTATTTTATTTATAATTGTGTGTGTTTAGTTGTTAATATAGTTTGCAATTAATCGGATTTCGATGAAAGGGACTGGCAGTAATAAGGTCTTATTGTCAATAATAGGGACAGTCAGTCATCTGGTCACAGTTAATAGGACTGACAGTTATTGGGTGGCAGTTATAGGGACGAGACGGTTTTTAAGGTGACAGTAATAGGGACAGTCGGATGCTCGCAGATTTTAAGTTATCATTAATTAATTAATTCTTCGCTTCTAATGTATTCAACTATTTTCATTAATGAGGGGGATGTTGAATAATATTATGTTTCAAACTGAGACGATTTATAGGTTAAACAACACATAAAATATTTAAATGAAGTTACGCTACAATCTTAAGGTGGCAGTAATTGGGACATCTACCCTACACTCAAACTGTTGACTAGTCAGACGCTCGGTAAGGAATGTTATTTACCTGTAGTCGGCTGTCTATTGGAAGACGACGATAGGGACGAGAGGGAAGTGGTTTTCGAGCCCAGAGCACGCCATCCCCCGTGCTGAGACGCGTCGGAGTGCCTCTTTAACCGGAAACCATCGCGAGCCGCGGGAGAGTTCTTATACCAATCCGGGACGTTCAGCCGCTGCAGCGACCTTTGTACTCTGAGTTCGTGTTCGCTGGGTACGCGTTCGCCAATTTTCTGCAACTCGTTCTCCGGCGGCTGCAACAGAAAACCGGTAGTCCATAAGAACTGTGGATACAATAAGTCATCAGTAGACTGGAGATTTTAGGCATTTATGACATACACGACTTTCCAGAGTCGATTGTAGTCCAACATGTCTTTTGTTGTTATCTTTGTATGTATTGCTGATCGTATTTTATAAGTATAGGAGCATGTACGTATTCCAGATGTTAATATTTTTTATAAGTATATTTAATCCCGTGCCCATACATTTTTTCACGTCAGAGATGATCTTAAAGTGCAAAGGATTAAGTATTTTCTAATAAATTCAATATTTTAGTCCCTTACTTAAGTATTTAACTCTTCTGAGTAGATTGCGAATTTTTATGGAAAATGATACTTTCTAAAGTAATTTATAAAGACAAAAGTAAATGTAGGAATTTCTTTCTTCTTTTAAGTATCATATTGGGTTCAGAATAGAATAGAAAATTCGTTGGATCTGATAAAGTTTTGTCCTTTATCATGTTGTATAGACCTCTACAGGCTATAAATGTATAAAATTCGCAGACTACTTACAACGTCAAAAATTATTGACGCACAAGCTGCAATAATTCGCTATTGCATGTCTTGAGGTGCAGTTGGTACATCTTTGTACACTTTACCTTTCGATGTTTTCTATAGAAAGAAATCTAGAATTGTCAAGTCTGGTGAACGAGCTGGTTACGATATTGGACCACCGCGTCTAATCCAACGATTTTGAAATTTTTCATCGAGTTCCCTTCGCACAATCAATGAATAATGTGTTGGTCATCTATCATGCTGATACCACATGGTTTGTCGTGTAAATAAAGACAATTCTTCGAGCAATGGACCCAATGTATCCTTAATAAAATTAGCGTAGATGTTGCTATTCAAATTTTCATTGATAAATTGAGGACCAATAATTTTATCACCTATGTTATGCAAATTAACATTCCCGTGGCTTGTGAATGTTGCCTCATCAGTAAATAAGACGGTATTAAGGAATAACTCATTGTTTTGGATCTGATGTTTAGCCTATCGACAAAATTCAACGCGAATCATGAAGTCATTCCCCTGCAATTGTTGGTGAAGACTAACATGGTAAGAATGAAATTTGTGACGGTGCAAAATGCGAAGTACGTTCCTCCTACTAACGCTAGATTCGCGTTCAATTTGTCGCAAACTAATATGAGGATTTGTAGCCACGCTTGCGAGCACATCGATTTCATTTTCTTCGTTCGTTACTCTCTTTCGGCATTCACTTTTACGAACACTTGAATTACCGGTTTTTGTTCGTTCCATACTTTTTTTTTAATTGACCAAAAACGAGTGATTTTTTAGGTGAAAATCGCACTTTTTCAGGAAAACGTCCGCTATTTTGTTCCTAATCAATATTTCGAAAAACCCCACGTTCAAAGACAAGATTGGTTCTTCCATTACATAAATCTTGCTGAATTTTTAATTTCAGATGAACCGTTACGAAGTTACAGTGATCACGGCAGACCACTTTTTGCGAAGAGACATCCGGGAGATCGCTCACCATTTATTTACTAATAAATATTTTTCAATAAAAAAATTACTTTATAATCTAGAAAGTGCAATCTTTGAAAAACAAACAAATTTTTTGAAAAAGGTGTTATAATTTTCGAGAAAAAAATTCCCAAAGAACACTCTTTTTTCAGCCTCATGACTGAGCATGACTCCTTAAGAGTAGGTCCGCGTGACTGTCATTTAGGCCTTTGCAAAGTTCTCACCTCTAAGTTTATCACACACATTTTTAAATATTCGACGCGAAGGCTCAGACTGATGTGGATATCGTTCAGCATACAAGTTTTTTTCCCTTACAGAATTTTGTTGGCATTCACCATAAATAAGAAGCATATCGACTTGCCCTTTAAACGGACACATCGTGCCCGTTTGACCGATAGGATACTACTTTCATCATGTTTATACTTATTAAAGTGTCCTTCAAACAGTGTTTATTTTCAGTGAAGTAAACCGTAAGCATTATCGCTTTTCTCTACTTCCCATGACCTTCAATGACCTTATGTAATAAGTCGTTGAACTCGTTTTAAGCTCCTCTATCATTCTACGGAAACAAAAACATACCGATCCATTTTCAAAAATAGAGGTGACCTTGAAATATCCAAAGTACCTCCACCTGCAAAAAACTATTAGCGCCATCGGATGGATCTCTTTGTACTGTGCAATTTTGGTTAAACAAATATTCCTGTGAACCTTATAGTTTCGAAGATATCTCAGGTGGCAATGGTTATTGCATCACCCTGTATAAAAAAATTAAGCTCGTGTAGGTTAAACGTTTCTAGGTCGTGCAAAAATTTCCAATACAAATTATTGGAAATCATTAATTAGTAATATTATAATCAGTAACAGAGAATTAGTGGAGAATGTTAAACCTTTTTAGGTTTTAAGAAATATCCAATGACGATTATTATATGAGGCCAAAACTGCAAATTTGCATACAACGTTGTAATTACTCCTCGTAATTTCTACGTCTTCATAAAATGGTCATTAAACATATACCACTCATTAAACGTGAGAATCGCGTTACAGCGTCTGCGATTACCGTGTTACACAACCACGTTGTGCGTTTATTAACGTAATCGTTGATGGAGTTCTTTTTCCATAATTACTATCAAATACGGACGACTCATCCAACGAGTTGAATCAATACGTTCGATACGGACGTTCCGTAGCTTTCTGTTATAATACATAGAAATACAGTTTCAGTTAATAGTGTCTTACAGGGAACAGAAAAAAATATAAATAATAATTACAAAAATATTAAATATTATATTAGCTATACCAAATTATAAAATGTATCTGTGTTTAATAAAATAATTTATACTTCTACTCGCCAGTTATTAATTTTGCAAATTCTAAACATACATATAAGTGAGTGTTTTATAGAATGGCGGAAGGTCGACAAATTTTCTATAACAAAGGATATTAAACTGTGCAAAACGTTATTATTTCACTGAAATCCAATCAAAGAAATATGTTTATCCACCGTCAGATTTTACTATACATTAACTACATTAATACATTGATATTACAGAAAGGTGATAGAGGCACATTTGGTTAGGGTCAAATGTGCCCCTAAACCAAATTCAACTTGCGATGTCTCATTCGATAGCTTATAAAAAAACCCGTGTGCCAAGTTTCAGCTTTCTATTTCGACTGTGGGGGGGGGGGGGGTAGTAATGGGGAAAAAAGAAAATCACGTTTTTGATCCAATTTCTGCTATCTTATTGCATACAAAATTTTGAAAAAAATCAAAAACATTTTAGTTATCGGGTCACATATTATGGAATTTTTCCAGACTTTTAAATTCAAAATACAAGCCGCGAAAAATAAACAACGTGAAGAAATGCTGAAAAATACTGATTTCGTATCGAAGCAGATGCAGAACAATAATGTCATTTTTACAGGAAGTAGATATTGTTATTACTATTATCCTGGAATTATTTTAGATTTCTCGGTTTGGTTCGCCGTAGTTCAAAAAATTAAAAAACCGATTTTGTCGGCGTTTTCTTCCGTGAAAAGGTATCTTATACTTAGAATTTTGTTGTATTTTCTTCATTAAATTACTTTATTATACAATCGTAAATATTTATACCTTCAGCAAAACAACATAAGAATTACAGAAAATAAGCAAGCCAATCAATCGACACTGTGTCTTGTGCGTTATATTCTTAATTATCGACCGATATCTCAACAGCGCCGGTAGCGTAGCGAGTAAAGTGTCGGACTCGTAATCGTTGCAATTAAACTTTTTGATCATATGGTATAAACTTCTGTGTTGTGTTTGAGGAAGGGCCGGCACGGGATGGCGTGTAGGCCATGAAGAAACGCTGGATTTTTCTATATCGTCCACTTGGATATATTTGCGTCTTACATAATCGCACCCACGTGTTCTAATTACTACGAGTTAATAACACACACGCACTCGTACATCCGTACTTGCGCTTCCTGCATGCGGGATGTAACATTCTGACATAATAATTTCGATCGTAAAAAGATAAATGAAAGAAGTAACACTCAGACTCATTAAAAGAAAACATCCAATCGCCATTTACAAAAAAAATTATAGTTCATGAAACCCAGACCTTGTGAAACCATTCAATTTTTTCTCTCGACCACCTTCTCGCTCCATTTTCCACGGGAACCATAATCTTTCACGATTGTATGACCAAAGTCGGGCATTAAGAATGGCGGACGTACATAAATCGATGTCTCATCGCGGACAAATGATACGAGGAAGGTCTGAGTGCTGAAAGCGCGCTCTTCAGGAAGCACCCGTCAGGCCAATAACCGCTGAAAAGCATTTCCCAAAGTCACAGGTGGCGTGTGGAAAATGATCGATCGATTGATTTCCTTGGTTGGAACGCGTAGACGGAACTCCCACCGATGCGGCGGATGAGGTAATACGAGACAGAAGCGCGCGGCGAAGGCCAAATGAAAGGTAAAAAGGGATCGTTTATTGCACTCGCGCGTTGAAAGCCTCGCGGGAACGGAAGGCTTTAATTTCAACCAAACGGACTCGACTTCTCCCGTTCCAACAGTCTCTATTCTACATATCATTATTGGTCATGGAGATTTCAGTTCTGACTTTTCAGGGGGTAAGGTAAATGTCCCAGTGATTCGACACTATCGTGAATTTTTGTTAATATTATATTTTTTTTAAATAATAGCGAACTTCAGGATAGAAAATAATTATCCTTAGTCATTTCTGATCATGAATCATATAAAAATGTTCGAAAAAGCGCGATGTATTATTTAAAAACAATATTATCATTTAGCAGTCGTGAACTTGAGGCGACATGAATGCCTTCGTAAATGTTTCGCTAATATTGAGAACGCATTCTTAAGCTCGTAAATAATAAATAATTCGTGTGTTTCTATTAAGTAAAGGTTTCTTGAACTTCTTAAAATCTCCAGAATTGATACCAACTTTGTTTTAATAAAACCTTTTTATTTTAATATTGAAATTACCG